GAAGAAAATCCATGCTCTCAGTGTTAGAGTGCTCTGACAAACACAACAGCCAGACTCGATAAAACTGTGTTAGTTGCGTAACCCTCTCCTGTGTATGCTTCTACTGAATAATCTTCCCTCAGTTCATAATCCACAGTGTATTTCACCTGCTAAGCTACTTAGCGACTAGCTAAGTCGACTGTTGCTATTCTCTGTATTTCGTCTGCATGTTTTTATCAGTGTTTATTGAGTGTGCGTGTGTGTGTGTGTGTGTGTGTGTGGAATTAGACATATTTTATTTCTGTGGTTCTAGTTCCAGCTCAGCGACTCTCAGGTCTTGAAGAGAGGTTGCCTTTGGAGAGTTAAATTACATCAAAGGTGGAAAACTATGGAAACTAGAGCAGTTCCATGTCTGTGATTCTGTCACTTAGTTAAGTTGAGGACGTTGATGGGTGTTGATTGTGGGACAGAGGACTTTCTGAACGTTGCTCTGGCAAGGGGGACACACTAGCGCCTCCTGGAGTTTAGAAACTGGAACTGATCAGAGGGTAGCGTGTGTTGTCTGCCAGGTTTTTTCCGTGTTTCCTTATCATTGTGTCAGTGAACAGCTTGTTCAAAGCTTTTTGAAGTTTCCAATTTTTTTTCTTGCCATTGTTACAATTCCATTTAGTTTTTGTTTTTGTATTTGCTGGCAGACAACTGAAAGGTAAGGACAAATAGAAAGGATAAAGATTAAACCAGAACCCAGCATGTGAAGTACTGTATATACTGACAGATAGTTACTGACAAACCGAGGTAGCTGCAGTTTAGAGAATCTCCTAATAAATGGTTCTTGGAGGGGTGTCCCAACATAAATACTGTAGGTGCACCTCAGTATGGGCATGTCTTTGTCTGCTGTAAATACTGAGGCCTTGTTGATGGAATCATTGATTGATTACAGCAACAAAACAAACCATTGTGTTTTGTTGCTTAGTATTGTTCACAAATAAACTGTGTGAAGAGTGATATCACGCTCAAGGCCGCGCTGCTGTACAAACTATTAGCAGAGCTACGATATCGACTGCACCGCGGCACTGCTGATGCTCAGTGCCGGAGCACGACCTTGAGTGCGATGTTGCTTTTAATAAAAGCATGATGAAATATTTCTTCAAAAGACCATTTCAAAAATATTAAATGCGTGCACTCGAAAAATTATTATTAACCAACCAGACATAAACAGAATGAAATACCTGTATTCGTTCCAAAGAAACATTAAAACCACATCCTTTAAGACAAGAAAAAAAACCTTTGGCTTGTTAAAT